TTGAAATAGTAAAGGACATGCTTCCAGATGGTAATGAACTTCCCAATAGTACGTATGATGCCAAAAAGATTTTGTGTCCAATGGGTATGGGATATACAAAGATACATGCTTGCCCTAACGATTGCATATTGTTTAGGAATGATTACAAAGACTTGCATGCATGTCCAATATGTGGGGCATCTCGTTATAAAACAAGCGAGAATGTTGCTGGTAAAGTACGTTTGAAAAGGCCACCAGTTAAAGTTTTGTGGTATCTCCCAATTCTCCAAGATTTAAGCGCCTGTTTGCAAATCCAAGTGATGCGAAGAACTTAACATGGCATGCAGATCAAAGGATTTCTGATGGCAAGCTTCGACACCCGGCTGATTCTTCTCAATGGATAACATTTGATAATGCATTTCCTGAATTTGGTCACGAGGCGAGAAATCTTAGACTTAGACTTTGTACTGATGGTATTAACCCCCACGGGAATCTAGGTAGCAAGCATAGCTCGTGGCCAGTTATGTTGATAATTTATAATCTACCCCCTTGGTTGTGTATGAAACGAAAATACATATTATTATGTTTGATGATTTCTGGGCCAAAACAACCAGGTCATGATATAGATGTTTATTTGGCGCCTTTAATTGATGACTTGAAGCAATTATGGGATGAAGGTGTGTTAGTGTTTGACGCATACCGAAAGGAGACTTTTAAGTTGCATGCAATGCTTTTTTGCACAATCAATGACTTTCCAGCGTATGGAAATCTGTCTGGATATAGTGTCAAAGGTCATAAGGCATGCCCCATATGTGAAGATAATACATGTTATCATCAACTTGTTCATGGTAGAAAGACGGTATATATGGGGCATCGGAGATTTCTTGATAAATTTCACCCTTATCAAAAATTAAAAATGGCATTCAATAGGGTGCAAGACTATACAGATGCTCCACAACCATTGACTGGGAATCAAGTATATGAACGAGTTGAATGCCTTCAAGTTACTTTTGGTAAGACTCAGAAGCTTAAATCTCAAAGAGGAAAGAGATCAAAATCTACAAATGAGAAGAGTCCGTGGAAAAAGAAATCTATATTCTTTGATCTTCCATATTGGAAGACACTAGATGTGAGACATAGTATTGATGTGATGCATGTGGAGAAAAATGTATGTGATAGTCTGGTTGGAACTCTTTTAGACATAAAAGGTAAGTCTAAAGATGGACTCAATGCTAGATTGGATTTGGTTGAAATGTGTATACGACCTACATTAGCACCACGTTCCGAGGGTAAGAAAACATATTTGCCTCCCGCTGCTCATACTTTATCAAGAAAGGAGAAAATAAGTTTTTGTGAGTGTTTACGTGGAGTAAAGGTACCACAGTGGTATTCATCAAATATCAGTAGACTTGTTAATATGCAAGATTTAAAGTTGGTGGGGTTGAAGTCTCATGATTGTCATGTCTTAATGCAACAACTATTGCTAGTGGCTGTTAGAGACATATTGCCTAAAAAGTTGAGATACACCATCATAAGACTTTGTTTCTTTTTCAATGCAATTTGTGGAAAAGTTATTGATCAAGACAAATTAGATGAATTGCAAAATGAAATTATTGTTACACTGTGTCAGCTAGAGATGCACTTTCCACCTTCATTTTTTGATATCATGGTTCATTTGCTTGTGCATTTGGTTAGAGAGATCAAACATTGCGGTCCAGCTTATTTGAGGTGGATGTACCCATTTGAAAGGTACATGAAAGTATTAAAAGGTTATGTTAGGAACCGATATAGGCCGGAAGCATCTATTGTTGAAAGCTATGTTGCTGAGGAGGTTACTGAGTTCTGTACTGAATATTTGGCAGGAGTTGAGTCTATTGGAGTTTCTAAGAATCGGCATGAAGGAAGAATTACTGGAAAGGGTACTCGAGGAGTCAAAGTGAATGTTATGCCTCGTGAAGATGTTGAGCAGGCACACTTGTACATCTTGCATAATACAAGTGAAGTCGAACCGTATTTAGATGAACACAAGGCGTTGATTAGGGAGCAAAATCCAAGAAGGACAGACATGTGGATTGTGGGCGAACATAATCGAACTTTTATTAGTTGGTTCAAAAATAAAGTTCTTAAAGAGAATAATGTTTCTGAAACTGTTTCATGGTTAGCACATGGTCCTGGTTTGGATGTTTTATGTCACAATGGATATGACATTAATGGGTTTTCTTTTTATACAAAAGCTCAAGATGAAAATAGCACTATGCAAAACAGTGGAGTTACTTTGGTTGCAAATTCAATGCATTTCAGTAGTTCGAAAGATCCAAATCCCGTGTTTGCAGAGTTGTCATATTATGGTGTGATTGAAGAAATATGGGAAGTTGATTATGTTTCTTTTAGGGTCCCGGTGTTTCGATGTAGATGGGTAGATAATAAACATGGTGTAAAAGTTGATGAGTTAGGATTTACCCTTGTAGATTTTAATCGGGAAGGACACAAAAATGAGCAGTTTATAATGGCATCCCAAGCAAAACAAGTCTTTTATATTAGTGATCCTTGTGACAAAAAATGGTCCATTGTTCTTCATGGAAAGAGACAAATTGTTATAGATGAGAATGAAGATGTTAGTTTTGATATTGAGGAAATACCACCATTTTCGTCAAGTTTATTGCCTCCCGTTATTGATAATGAGATAGATGAAGTGCATGCATCACGAGATGATCATCGTGAAGGGATATGGGAGAATTGATTTATTATATATGTAATGCTTTAATTAGGTATTTATTTTGTTTTTATATTTTCTTATTCTAATATTTCTATATATATTCTAAAAAATTTTCTTTCTAAACAGGCGTATGGATTCCACAGATGATGGTGGTACTACAGAAGGTACTCATAATACTCAAAGTAGTACTCAAACTACAAAGAAGAGGGGTGCCACTCGTATGAAAAAAATCATTAGGCAACGTAATGCTTTTGGGAAACTACAAGTTGAGCTTGATGGATTCGAGCCTGTCTACGGGAAAGCTGGCAATGAATTTAAAAGTTATGTTGGATTAGTGGCACGAATCAATACTCCTATAACAATAAAAGAATGGTCGGATGTCCCAGAAGATACTAAAGCTACTATTTGGAAAGAAATCCTGGTAAGATAGATTTAGATTTATTTAAAAAGTTAATATAATTACATTTCTTACTAATAAATAATCTTGTTTTGTAGAGTACTTTTGATATTCCCGACACCATTGGTATGAAGAGACATTGGTTAAGCTATGTGGGTGATAGGTGGAAAGATTTTAAAACAAAATTGGTGAACAAGTATATATATGGTAGTTATGCAGGTCAGAACCCTTGTACTTATAATTACATTTATTACTAATAAATAATCTTGTTTTCTTACTAGTATATATACGGTTGCTATGCAGGTCAGAACCCTTGTCAAACATACGACTTCATTGAATAAGAGACATGGAATGAGTTTTATCAGTCGCATACGGGTGAATCATATGAGGTATCATTATTATTCTATCAATATTTTGAACAAGGGATATGAAATTTATCATATGATTAATATTTGGTATGTACGTAGGCAACAAGGAAAAAATATCAAGACATACAAGCTAAGAATATTCATCCACATCTTTTAGCTCGAGGTGGTTATAAAAGGTTGGAGAAGATGATGATGGACGAGAAGTTGAAAGAACAACAAGCATTAGCTGATGCAGATCCGTCGTATACAATGACTCCTCCAAGTCCCATACGTAGAGCCGAAAAATGGAAGAAAGCAAGAATGGACAAGTCAGGAAATTATCGTACTGATTCAACTAGAGTGGTGGCGGAAAAAATTGTAAGTACATATCTTGTCATTTACTACAGTAATAGTAATTATTATTATTGAATAATTTTTATATATGTTAGGATGCTCTTGAGTTGCAAATTTCTCAAGGAGAATTTATTGAGGATGGAAGAAAGGATTCATTGACTGTTGCATTGGGTACCGATGAGCATTGTGGACGTGTTAGAGCCATGGGAAGAGGACATGGCATCAAAAGTGTTTTTGGCCATGCAAAACGTCGCCAAAATACTCCTGAAGATGTTCAACAACTGGTTGATGCTGCTGTTGGTGCTGCCGTTGGTGCTGCTGTTGCAGAAGCGTTAGAAAAACAAAAGCAGGAAAATATTTCTGAACGGGAGGAATTTGGTCAACGTATAACAGAGCAATTTGGGGGAAAAATAGCTAGTATGATGTTGCAATTTAGTGCTATGCAGACTCCTTTACAGCCAAAGCAGGTGACACCCGTATGTGTGGATGCTGTGCCACCACCTCCCAGTGACAAAGCTAGTTCCCCAGACCCTTTTAGTAATTTACCGGCTGTAAGTATTCGTTTATAGTTATCTTATTATTATTTATCAATAAAATTTTATATGATTTTTAATTAAAAATTATTGTAGTTAGGGGCACGATGTCAATTGTTTTTAGAAGATCCAATTAGACGTCCAGTGGCATATGGGACAGCTTACAGTGGTAGACAAGTTCATGGGGTTGTACTGGATGTAAACAATGTGAAAGTGAGTATAACTGATGTTGGTGATCCAACTGCACATGTACCATTCCCCACCGGTGAGGTTAAGCTTGTAAGTGATGCATGCCAACACTTTATCATTTGGCCAAAGAAGCTGGTAGAGTTATGTACTGAAGCAAATGTGGATGTATACTGATAATATTTCTATTTTAAAATATTAAATAATTTACTTTTTAAAACTATAATTCTTACTTGTATTATAATTCACAGTTAAAAGTAGGACTAGGCACATTTCGGGTCAAACCCGAAATTTCGCGGGTTCGACCCGGAAAAATATATTTCGGATCGGATTCGACCCGCTTCGGGCCCAACCCGAGTAAAGCTTCACAGATTTGTTATTTCTCGGTTCGGATTTCGGATGTACAAATTTATGTTCGGATTCGACCCGAAACCCGAAATATGTGGGTAGTATATAAACAATAGGAAGGCACTAGGGTTACAGACTCCTCTCTCATCCGCCTCCTCGCTACTTCCCGTCTATCTTGTTTCTCTGAATCTCTGCCCCTTTCTCTCTCAAGATTTACCCTCTCTTCTCTGATCTTTCTGTCTCTCAAATCTCACTCATATGAGTATCTCATCCCTCACTCTCTCTATCTCTCACCTTCTCCGGTCTCCGCTTTCAAAGCCTTAGAGGCTCAGACTCCGCTTCTCACCTTACACACCCTCTCTGCCTCTCCCTTGGACTGCGACTCCTACTCCTACTCCGGACCTCTCGAGTCTAGCATTCGGGGCTAAGCACAACGTAGATCTGGGATTCTGGGGAGATGGGCTTAGACTCCTCCACTTCTCCGGTGAACGGCGGTCCGCTACGGTCAAAGGCCAAAGCTGTTAACACTCTAAAGCCTAACAGGTAGTTTATTAGTTTTGTTTTTATTTTTTTTTTCTAGAAAATATATGTTTTAACCATGCTTGGAAAATTTTCTCTGTCTCAGGCTCTCAGTCTCTCACTATTGAGTCTCGCCAAATACTCCCAGTAAATCTGGCTCTCAACAGATCCGGGAATATCTCCATTGAGGCTTCGAGTTTGTAGGCTTCTCCAGTGACCGTCTCTGTCCATGAAAATATAATAGGAGAAAAAGGTACTTTACTGTTTAGTTTGTTTTTTTTTTTTTCATTCTTTTCTCAAAGAAGTAAAATTATAGGACTTTACAAGGTTTTCGAAAAATTTTCCTTTTGTATTTATTTATTTAAGATTCAGTTTCAAAATTTGTAGTTGATCATTTATATTTTTTGCAACAAAAAACTCTATTATAGTGTTTTTAATGTTCTTCTAACTATTTTATTTATAAATTTTTATTTTTATTAGTTTTCACTGTTTTTCATTTTTTATTTATAAATTTTTATTAGGTTTGTTTTTGTTTTTTTTTTTTTTTTCCTTTTTTCCCATAAAATTGAAACTAACTGTAATTTGTGTTGAGGACTTAAAAGATGAAGTGTTTCTAATTTTTAAAGTAACTATATGGCTCAGTGACTACTGTAGTAGTTTTACATTGGATAGTTTTGTTAAGTGTGTGTATATATGTGTGTGTATGTGAAAATGTGATTATATGTGAATAATAGTATTAAAGTCTTAAATTTTGCACAAAGAAAAAGAAGCCTTATATTTTTTTGAATTTTATGAATTAATGAATCTACTGTTAAGTGTTAAAGTCTTAATTCTTGAATTTATGACTTTAATTTTATGAATTTATTTATGAATATACTGTTAAGTGTTAAAGTCTCAATTCTTGAATTTATGATTTTTTTTTTTAATTTACTGACTTTAATGAGTGATTATATGCCTTGTGAGTTTTTGAGTTTACATCTTTTGGAGTTTCTATTATGTCTTTTTCAATAATGATTTTTTTCTTTTTTCATTTTATGCATGCTAGGATACTTTTATTAGTTTCTCACTTTCTCCTTAGAATCTTAGAATGCATATTTGAAATGGATGGTAATTTGATATGCCCAGGTCTTGTCTTTTTGATAGTCTAATGTTTTTGTTTACTAACTGAATTCTGCATTCTCAAAGGGCAATAACTGACATTCATCCAATTGGAAATTCTCCTGTCATTGTTGAGAAGGTAGGCATAATACTCCATAAATTTTCATTTACCAATTAGTATTTCCTCTTCTTCTTTAACATGTGGTCTTTATATGTTTGTTAGGGACTTCTGAAAAAGATAGCTCGTACATGGACTAAGGAGGGAGGACCCTGGAGCTGATAAAGCTTTTGGCTGGGTACTTGAGATGTAATCTACCTCTGGTCATCATACCAAAATTATTTCATTCCCCCTTGTGGATTGGGAACAAAAACTAACTTTAAACCTCCATATATCTTATTATTATCTTCTTTATATGCAGGTATGCATATAAAAGGATCAATAATGACTTAACTTCAATGCATTATATTTAAAACTTTCAACTTGTGTGCTTTTAATTTGTATCAACTATCAAGTATCAGCATAATTAGCATTATTGGAATTCATATATGAACTTTCACAATATAGTAATATACTATCTTTATTGTTGTTTGTTTGTAGGGGTTCTAATTAGCAGCCAAATGAGAAGCAGTTTACTGGCAGACAGATTATTGGATCAACATTTGCTTAGGGGAGCAAAACTAAATCCAATACAGAATACTTAGCTGTTTTCTCAATCTTTTTTCACTATTCTTTGTTTAGTTTGTATTTTTTTATGATTGTAAATTTGTAATTAACTAGGTAAGGTTTTTTGCCCATTTGGGTTGTAAATTTGTAGGTATTTTGCCCATTTGGTTTGTCATTTAGAGTATTGTATTTATTGTTCTGCATATATTTATTATTTTAGATTGGTTTTCAATTTTTTGCTTTGTTTCCAGAATTTTCAAAAGATTTAAAATTTCAAGATTTTTGGAACGATGTTATAATTTCGGGTTTGTCAGACCCGACCCGATGTGAACCCTACCCGAAACACTCGAACCCGAAAATACCCGATGATTTTCGGTTCGGTTTTCGGACTTTAAAAAGCAAGACCCGAATTATTTCGGGTGACCATGATTGGCACGGGTCGAACCCGAACCCGACCCATGCCCACCCCTAGTTAAAATACAATACCATGGACAATAGTATTGCTCTAGATTCTTTGACTGCTGAGTGCAAAAAGGCTTTTACAATAGCTCGCCGTTTCGAACAAAATCTTGTGATCCATGTGGCTCGTGGTATTATGGGCGAGATTGAGTATGACTTGCACCTTGAAAGTGTGGAGATATTGCGTTTCTTAAGTATGGACACCATCGATGTTTCTCTAGTTCAGTTCTTTATAAGGTAATAATAAGTTCTTTATGATTGTTTATGCATAATAGTTTTATATTTACATTATTGATTATTTATGTATAATTGGTTCTATTTGTGAATAGGGGTATTTACATCAATTTTGAGTTGGCATCAAAAGACACTTATGGTTTCCTAGATCCATATTGGATTCAACCAAAAATGAATAATATAGAAGAAAGGAAATCATATATAAATGCCACCATGCAGTATGGGAAGAAAAATGTGTATTTAGCCCCATACGTTCTCAAGTAAGTTTTAATTACGTTTTAAATTAAAGTGCTTACATATAATATATTTTTATATTATATTATATTTACTTATTTACGTATAACTAATAAATTACTTATTTGTAGTGAGCATTGGATGCTGATGGCGATTTTTCCTAAATTAAATGAAATTTTTTGGTTTGATTCACTTGGTCATGGGCCGCGTGAAGACATTAAACATATAATGGAAACGTATGTAAATTTATATAATGAATTAATAGTTATTATTAAACAAGTGATGCCAAATATTTATATATATTTTATGTCTTATATGAATAGGTGTATGACTGCAACAAGCATGATGAGTGGAAAGAAACAATCTCGTTCATCGAAATGGACGACATGTTTGGTAAGTACTTCTTTCACTTTGTAAAACATGCAAACTTATTGTTTTTTATTTCTATTTTAAAATAATTTTATTGTAATTCAAATGTAGTGTGCTATACAAAAAGGAAGCACCGAATGTGGTTATTATGTGATGAAATTCATGTGGGAAATTATTTCCAACAACCTAAGCAAAGGAATGGATAAGGCAAGTAATCTAATAATACATATTTCTTTTTCAAATGTTGTTTAAAATATTTAGTTATTTATTATTTTTATTTTTTTTTGAACTTTGTAGATTTTGGAAAGACAAGGACGATTGCCCTACAACAAACAAGAGATTGATGACGTTAGAAACAAATGGTCTAAGTTTCTTATTGATGAATGAGTTAATAAAACGTTGTTAATTTGATACTAGTTTATGTTTAAAACTACTTTGTGTTTATTGATTTGATGTTAATTAGTAGTTTTGTTGTATTGTGTTATTTATATTAATTTTAGTTTTAGTATGTAGTTTTGTTGCATTGTGCTTAATTAGTTTCATGTTTAGTATATAGTTTGAATTAGTTGATGTTGATGCTGAATGTAACTAGCTGCACAGGTTCTGATTGCACATGCAGCGCAGGTTGGGCTAGAGCATAAAACCTTTTCTATATATAAAAAAAAAATAGATACGGCGTCGGCTAATTGGCAATTAGCCGACGTCGTATAATTTAAAAAAAGAAATTAAATACATACGACGTCGGCTATTACCAATAGCCGACGCCGTATATATATTAATAAATAAAAAATAATGATACGACGTCGGCTAATTGCCAATTAGCCGACGTCGTATCATTTAAAAAAAAATATTAAATACATACGGCGTCGGCTATTTGGAGGAGCCGACGCCGTATGTATATATATTATTTAATATAATTATACGACGTCGGCTAATAGCCAATTAGCCGACGTCGTATCATTTAAAAAAAAAAATTAAAAACATACGACGTCGGTTAAATAACCGACGTCGTTTATTTTCTTACAACGTCGATTTAGTCGACGTCGTAAGATAGCCGAGGTTAAATGGGGTCATTTAGCCGAGGTTAAAGCTATATTCTGTAGTAGTGAAAATACACAGCCACAGACACGACCGTGCACTTGGCCGTGTCTTTTGGCCTTCAAAACGTCAGAATTTGGAACTATGGTCTTCATGAAAGTTGTAGCCCTTCGAGTCTTCTTTCCAATGGCGCAAGAATTATTTCATTTGGACATTCCTAAGCTGAGATATGGTCCAAAAACCAAACAGTGGTGTGTTTTAGATTGTAAGTTTAATTTGGAACTTCAACTTCAAGGACAATTTTGAACCCTGTGACTTCATTTTTAGGCTTTGATGATTTTATAAGAATTGTATCCCTTTGAGTCTTCTTTCCAATGACACAAGAATCACTTCATTTCAACACTCCTAGGCTGAGATATAATCAAAATATAGAACAGTGGTCGAAATGGGCGAAAATTGCAATGCATTGATCTTTTGCTCCTCTTTTGTTTTGGTTTGCCCAAATGACCAACACCATTGAAAACACCACTCTTAGGCTCCCTTGGAAGTGTTTTAGCCATCCTCTTAGCTTTCCTTGGCTCCCCTTGACTCCAAATGCATCCAACATGATCTAAAATCCTTCATTTCTACTCAAAATAATGAATTGTGCATAATGGATCAAATGAGCAAAATAAAGATCATTTTGAACAACATTGTGACACTTCATAAGCAAAACAAGGCTAAATATGGGGTAGACATGGGGTATAAATATGAACAAATATGCACTTATCAAGTATTATGGAGAGGGAACAAGGGGAGATCTCGCGCGCGCCGCCGCCGCCGGCTCGGCTCGGTTTGCATGTGCGGTGTGGTCAAAATTTTGTTTGCGCCTTATATTTTTAAGCCTTATTTTTGTGGGTCTTTTGACCACCTTGTCCGCACACTACTCACATCAAAAGAACGTGTTGTAGTGATCCCTCTTGCTCTCCTGGTTTGTCGCACTTCTGTATGGCTGGAAAGGAAAAGGCGGTTGTAGCTCTCAGTATGTAACACGCCTTTTCCACCTCTTTCATATACGCTTTGATCATTCCTCTTGCCTGAGCTGTAGAAGCAGGTTCCATCCTGCATATCTGTGTACCTTGTCGAAAACAAACGATTCCCTGGTCGCAAATGTTTTTAAGAGAGTGTTTATATAACACGACGCAGATACTACCCTACCAAATACATATCCTTCATCCAGCTACATAAGCGGCAGCATACCTGAGTCTGCGACATTCGAAACACAAATATCCAACACATATTATTACTTATTTTACTCTCTCTCTCTCTCTCTCTCTATATATATATATATATATATATATATATATATATATATATATATATATATATATATATATATATATATATATATATATATATATATATATATATATATATATATATACATGGTGGGTCGCGCGCGGGTAAGGTTCTATGAGGGTTTTGAACAAAAAATTCTAATCCAATCCGACTCATCATCACGGATTTAATTTTTTAAGACCTACCCACCTTCTCCGACCACCGCTTACTATCACCAAAAAACTCGAACCATGCAGGTGAATATCTACGGGGCGAATTAAAATTCCCATCCCTAGTCATATTCCATAAATAAAAGTAACTTCAATTATTTTATTTATATTTATATTGCACGCAATTATGGGATACATAGTCATACATGTGCCGTAGGCTTTCCATAAGGGGGTACCAAATCCATTATTTAAACGCTAATTATTAATACACACATATATATTGCATGCAATATAATGCAAGATTTTTTATCACCCAGCCTTTACGAATTCAAAAGCATATAGCGATTCGTCCCTGTAGTTGATTCCCAGCTGATATCCACCGCCGACTGTGCCAATATGCCAGTAACCAATCCTGCAGTAAAGGCAAAGGCTTGGCCACCAGTTGAAAAGGTACCCTTTTCCATTAAAATTTTTCTGAATCCTAAACCAGTTGCCAAGATCACCTTTCACCACGCCTATAACGCCTCCGGTCACTATTGCCGTCTCATCATTAAGCTTCCAAACGTTCTCCTTAGCGCAGGGATCTGATGGGTCCGGCGAGTCGAAGGCCACGTTCAGTGGGTACTGCGATATGATGACGTCGTCGTCGGTGGCGGCGGCGGAGCGTGAAGCCTCGGCCTCGCGCTTTAGAGGGTAGAAAGTTAAAGGAAGACCCACGGCGGGAGGTTGGTGGCCGGCTAATGTGACGTTTATTACTACGTCGGTGGGGCAGGCGGAGGGGTTTCCTGTGTCCGGGTTAGCCACGCTTATGCCGCCTTCCACGCCGATGAGGGCTGGGATGGCGTAGTATTTGGCTCCGGCGACTACTGGGTTGCCGGCCGTGTCTAAGATGGCGTTGTCGGGTACGTCGGCCTTTGTGGGGAGGCGGATGAGTGGAGGAAGGCCGCCGGAGATGGCCAGCGGAAGGAAAGAAATGGCGGAGAGAACCAAAAGGATTATTGCTGTCTTCATCTTCAGAGCAGAGATAGATAGATAAATGTGTGTTTGGTTTGGTGCTTAGGGAGGGGCAAAACCACTCAATTATATAGACTCAGATCAGATGAGATAACCCACTAGCAGACAAAATAGTAACATAAATGTGATGTCAAAAAAAAAAAACGTGTGCCATTTAATAAAGATTCCCACTGGACCACAGGTATTTAAAGACGATAGACACGTGTCAATGGTAATAAATTTTAAAAGAAAAAATTGTGATAAATTTTAAAAGGGTATTATGGTAATAACATTAAGTTTTAATTTTAAATTAAGATGTCAGGTTTGATGTCTAATCCCTAAAGTTGTTAATTGAAAATTAACAAATTAGAAGTGTCATGACATAAAGAAAGGTTGAGTTCGGAGGAGTGAAATCCAATTATGACGCGGTTCGTTAGGCATATAACAGCAAAGTGACATTCATGATATGAACATTAAAAATCATGTGCGTGACATCCACCATGATTTCTAACCTAAAATCCTATTAATATAGGCAGTTATAAGACAATTTTCTATGGTCTTTTGTCATACATTAAGACATAATTTTGAAGGTTATTTAGTCCACTTAACTTTTACCGGCAAATTATGTTGTGCATCCGTATGCACCATGCATGGTACATACGGATGTAAAAACGACGTCATTTTATTAAAAACGCGCGTCTTACTTTAAAAAATTTCATAATCAATGAACTAAAATTCCAGAATCGATGAACTAAAATTTCAGAATCGATGAACTAAAATTTCAGAATCGATGAACTAAAATTTCATAATCGATGAACTAAAATTCCAGAATCGATGAACTACAATTCCAGAATCAATGAACTAAAATTTCAGAATCTTTGAACTAAAATTCCAGAATGAATGAACAACATAATGCTGTTGAGGGGAATCGAACCTGATTTTTTTTTTTTTAAGTGAGATGCGCGTTTTTAATAAAACGACGTTGTTTTTGCATCCGTATGCACCATGAATGGTGCATACGGATGCACATCATAACTATCCTTTAACCTACCTAAAATAAGTGCAAATTAGGTTAGAATGCTGTTGTATTCATTTTGAGACCAGAGATAAATGTGCATTTGATTTGGTGCCTATGGAGTTGCAAGCACACTCAAAAAAATTACCTGCTATCACCCTACACACTCTTACATACAAACTGGTTCAATTGCACAAATATAATTTAAAAAGTTATTAACTAAATTGCATAAAAATGAGAAGTTAAGGTGTCTAATTGGAACTTTTTTTAGTTGAAGAATTTAATTAACACCTTAACCTATATTTGAAGGATCAATTATGTGTAAAGTGACAATTTTAATGCTTTACAGGATTTTGTTAATATTAACAATTTATTTAAAATTTCTAAATTATTAAAGGACATATTGAATTTTACATAAAATTTTCTCAAATTACTTACACGGAATATTCACTTATACGCTACTCTTATTAATCTCCTATATATCTTACCTCCAAAGTAGCCAATATACTCATGAAGATTCAATGCATCTTCCAACATTTGTTATTAGTTAGTCAGACGCTTCAAGAAGGAGACAAGAAAAACATAGCAACAACATTCTATTTTTATGAAGCAAATTAATTGAAAGAATGTGTTATGTATGTAGATAAACTTGTTTTTATGGCTATTAAACAATGTAACTCATGCAATCATTTTAATTTGTGGTTTTTTTTTTTTTTTTTTTTTTTTTTTTTTTTTTTTTTGTGTGTGTGTACTAAATTAAACCATTTGTAAATTATGTCGTAATTTTGTGTAATTCATGGATGTTTTTAGTTGTTTTGGTGTCTGCTAAAATAAGTGCAACTTATACTATTATTTTAATATATACATACATACATATATACATAAATACAAGCTATGAATCCTATGATAACTTTTCCATATAAGAGAAAGAAGAATTAATCCCAACTTTACATCTGTAAATATAATATTCAATGGAACTTACCATATTAAAAAAAAAAAAAAAAAAAAAAAAAAGAAGAAAAAGAAGAATATTCGATGACAGTTTCATAATTATCATCAACTCCATTTTCAATAGTAATGGACTTTCAGTTTCAAAATGTCCTCATTATTTTCTTTGAATCTAAATTATCCTTTATCTACATTTGTCTCAACATATGCAGGCATATGTGATGAATATATATCATATCCAGTGTTGCAAAAATCGCCCCGCAAGGAAGGCTGGAATCGGCCACCTCCGCGGTTAAAAACTTTGCGAATGCATAACTTTTGACTCGGTTGTTCGTTTTGGACCATTTTTTTTCAAATCGCGTATTATTTCGAGATCTACCCACTCCAAACCGCCCAATTTCTAAAAAAAATATACTTCTTTTACTCTTATTTTAATTTTTTAGGTATTTAGATGGTTTTAACAATATTTTAAACTACTTTATAGCCACTTAAATACATCATACATGTGCCGTAGGCTTTCCATAACGGGGTAGCAAAGCCATTATTTAAACGCTAATTATTAATACACACACATACATATTGCATGCAATGCAAGATTTTTGATAGATGGTTCAACGTACGGCTTTGATCAGTCAGCCTTTACCAATTCAAAAGCATATAGAGATTGGTCGTTGAAGTTGATTCCTAGCTGGTAACCATCGCTGACTCTGCCAATATGGCTGTAACCAATCCTGTAGAAAAGGCAAAGGCTTGGCCACCAGTTGAAAAGGTACTCTCTTCGATTAAAGTTGTTCTGAATCCCAAACCAGTTGCCCAGATCATCCTCCTTGCCTATAACGCCACCGGTCACTATTGTGGGTACTGCTGTAAATGGTTCATTAAGCTTCCAAACATTCTCCTTAGCGCAGGGATCCGATGGATCTGGCGAGTCGAAGGCCACGTTCAGTGGGTACTGCAATATGATGGCGTCGTCGGTGGCCTAGCCCTCGAGCTTTAGAGGGTAGAAAGTTAAAGGAAGAGCCACGGCGGGGGGATGGGTGCCGGCTAATGTCTCGTTTATTACGACGTCGGTGGGGCAAGATGAGGGGTTTCCGGTAGTGTTGAGGTTAGCTACGCTTATGCTGCCTTCGACGCCGATGAGGGCTAGGATGGCGTAGTATTTGGCTCCGGCGACCACTGGGTTGCCGGCCGTGTCTAAGATGGCGTTGGTTACGTCGGCCTTTGTGGGGAGGCGGATGAGCGGGGGAAGACCGCCGGAGATGGCCAACGGAAGGAAAGAAATGGCGGAGAGAGCCTGTAAAGAAATGTATGAACTGTCTATTATTCTCTGTTGTTCATTATAGAAGATGTATACCCCTATATATACAAACTATAGGGTACAGAGAAAGGAAATAGAATCAATAAGAATAATAATAATGAAACCAAGATTACAAGAGAAAATATTTGCTAAAAGAAATATATGTGATTTATGTGATTTATGTGATTTCTGTGATTTCTTTCCTTAACACCCCCCTCAAGTTGGAGCATGTAACAGAGAGATGCCCAACTTGGGAATAAGAGACTCCATGCGTGTCTTGCCCAACGCCTTTGTATGAATATCAGCCAACTGTTGTATCGTAGACACATGCTCCGTTTGTATCACACCTTGTAATAGCTCATCACGAAAAAAGTGACAATCAACCTCGATGTGCTTTGTTCGTTCATGGAAGACTGGATTCGCTGCAATGTGAAGAGCAGCGGTACGTACTGTCACAACAAATCTGCATAGGAGTCGTATGGTGTATCCCAAGAGAACGAAGAAGACCTTTTAACCACTTCAATTCACATGTCACTGCGGCCAAAGCTCGGTATTCAGCTTCGGCTGAGGAGCGTGCAACTGTGGTTCGTTTCTTTGTTTTCCAAGAGATGGGAGAGTCGCCTAGCTGAACGAACCATCCGGTCAACGATCGTTGAGTCAAAGGGCAAGCTGCCCAATTGGAATTGCACCAGCCAGTTAATTGCAGAGTATTTTTAGCGGATATAAAAATACCATGACCGGGACTTCCTTTTAGATAGCGCACTACTCCAAGCGCTGCTTTCCAATGATCATCACGGGGATCCTTCATGAATTGAGCCAGAGTATGGACAACATAGGCTAACTCTGGCCGGGTGATTGACAAATAAACTAGACACCCCACTAGGCGACGGTATGGTTCGGGATCATCGAGAAGTGGGGCTTCAGATAAAGCAAGACGATGATTGGGTTCCATTGGAGTACCCAGTGGTCGAGCACCTAGTAGACCTGTCTCAGAAATGATATCAAGGGCGTATTTTCTTTGACACAAGAAAATACCAGAAGAATTCCGAACTACCTCTATACCAAGAAAATATTTTAAAGTACCAAGATCCTTCATATGAAAACAAGAGGCCAAGTGGATTTAAACTTGGCAATCATAATTGTGTTATCTCCATAAATAACAAGATCATCAACATACACCAAAACATGTACCACACCATGATCACTGCGCAACGAGAACAACGAATAATCAGATGTGGACTGTGTGAAGCCATACCTTTTCAGAGCACCTGACAATTTTGCAAACCAGCACCGTGGGGCTTGTCTTAACCCATAAAGAGACTTCTTGTGTAACACCCCGAAATTTTAAAACTTTTAAGACTTATATAATAAGAGTAAATTCTCATTAAATCCCAAAACATAACATAAGAGTATGGGGTGCTATGCCACACCTGAGCTAGAGAACTCAGGTGCACAGGCTAACTAACTAAAATCCTCATTAATGTCAGTACATAAGCATGGCACGCAGGCCGAGAGGGAAACTATCTATTCTACGCTCCAAGTCTCTAGCGCGCTCCAGTGCCTACTCATCTGTGCCTGAAAGCCAAATATATCTGTTCAGCGAGAGATGCTGGTAACCCACTCCAACGCGTTGAAATACATTATAGATAGATATATATATAGATATACGAAAATCATTTCGAAGCAGGAAGATATATACTTAAGAGACACTAGTTTTAAAACCGGGAATAGACTCAGCAAATAGGGATGAGCACACCAAATAACAATAAGCATATAAGTAGAGATAACATCACAAGGAATACACATCTCAGGTCACTGATCACTTTCCAATTCCAAACACATCATCATCCAATCACCATTCATGTCACATCATCATTGCATCACCATGCATATCACATCATCATTGAATCACCATTCATATCACATCATCATTGATGGCGCCACGGGACCAATCGCATGCCCCGAACATGAGGGTCAATGCATATAGCATTAACATGGCCCCGCAACACCCTACCTCAGTACCGCGGTACGAGGGGAGTTGATCGCAACCAACCCTTTGAGAACCGTTGACGAACTCAATGTCGGACCACGATCCTACACACCGCTGACGCACCCAGTCGGTGGACCGCGATCCCCTTTTCAAGGGGGGACTTACGACCCTACGCACCGCCGATGGGTACGCCGGTGGACCATAGCGGATCAAGCCCGACACACCGCGGAGCTATACTCAGTTGGTGGGCGAAGATCCTCGGAGACTATGGCCCTACACACCGTCGTCCCATCGCTCGGTGGGTCGCAGTCAGCCGTAGCCATACACACTGCCCTGATTACTCGGATCGGTGGACTACAGCCTTCCTCGGCTTATTGGCCATACACACCGTCCTGGCGCGTTCAGGTCCGGTGGGTCATAGCACCGAGGCCCATGTGGACCGCAGCCCAAGAAGTGAATCACTGACCGCAGCCAGGAGAATGAACCGCAGCTCATAAGTAACCAACAGTGGACCACATGCAATTCCTAAGATTCATCTATCCTACGAACGATACCCAAAACATCAAACTAGACTCAGGCACGACACACGGGGTCCGTTGGGACGCCACGGGGAATGGGGGACATCAAACGGGGAGGCCAGGGACCCGGGAGGGGTCCCGAACCAGCGGGTAGCCGGTGGGTGAGGGATCACCCGCCGGCTGCCCGCCGGTGATCACTGCCCGGCAGCGGGTTACCGGCGGGCGGACGCCTGCCCGGCGCCTGCCCGCTGCCCGGCGGTGATCTTCGAGCAGCGGGTAGGTGGCGGGTACTGTAACACCCCGTGTTACGACCCCTAAAACCAATTAATCATTTAACCAATTATTCAAAGAAAGAATTAAATTACAATAATTAATTAGGAAAAGGCCCACCATAGTCCGTGGGCCCTCATCTCTAAACCCAACCCCTAGTCCTAAAAGGAATAGAGTTAGCAAGCCTATAGTATTTGGGCCCTAATTAGGACTCTTAGATATATAAATAGGGGACATAGGAGGCACCTAGAACCCCCACCACAATAAGCTCTCACCACACAAGGAATTCCAAGAATTCCCCTAGGAGAAATCAAGAAAGAAGAAAGGTTTAGAGAAAGACCCTTCATAGCCAAGGAAATCAATTAAGGCTAAGAGGTAACCCATGTCTCAACAAAACCTATTTTCTTAGCTATGATCTTCCTCTAGGCATCCCTCTACATTTTTGTGTATTGATGATTCGGTTATGATATTAATGGTGTGATCTTGATAATTGATGTTATGATTTCTTGGGTAATCTTGATAATCTTGATGATGGAAAGAGATTCTTGATGATTGTGTGATATTCTTGATAAACCTAGATTCCTAATGATTGTGTGATATTCTTGATAAATCACATTGTTGCTTAAAAGATGAATTGCGTTCTTGATGATTTAAATATAATTAGAGCCCTAGGATGTATCGTGAGACTCGTGCGGTGTTATTCTTGATATATTGGGTGGGAATTTGCATGTTTGGGTGTCAATTATGTTTAGAAAGCATGATAGGATATGTGCCGTATGTTTCTTGCTTTTGATCCGTTAATTGTCTACGTGTTGTCATCGATTGCGTTTAAAGGTGTCTAAGCATGGTTTCGGGTTCCACAAAGGTTCCCGGGGCGTTATTTGTGAAAAAGAGTCAGTGGGGGTAGGGGACCCGCCACCTACCCGCGGCCAGGTTTGGCGTCGCCGGCAGCGGGCAGTCGGCGGGCAGGCGACTGCCCGCCGGGCACCCGCTGCCCGGAAATTCGTCGCCGGCGGGTGACCTTTCACCCACCGGCTACCTGCTGGAAATTGTCCCACTTCGGGATCTCGGCTTCCCCGTTTGATGTTCCCCCGACCCCCGTGGTGTCCCAACGGACTCCGTCTATCGTGCCTATGTCTAGTTTGATGTTCGGGTACCATTCGTAGGTTGAATAAGTCTTATATATTACATGCTAGTTGAATTGGTATCCCGTTGACCTAGGTGTAAGAAGTATGAACCCCTTAGGATTATTCTTAGTATGTGGATGATCACGCATAGGTTTCGTTATACGATTTCTCCCCATTCCCAATGTGTCAAAGTGGGTTGCATGTGTTTGCTATGTGTTATGTGTGCATGATACCCCAATTTGGTTGCGATCAAATTGGTTATTCCTGAGCTGCGGTTCAGAAGCTGGCTGCGGTCGGATTTACACTCTCGGGCTGCGGTCCACCGTTTGGTTGCGATCAAACGTTTTACATGAGCTGCGGTTCATATTCCTGGCTGCGGTCAGATGACTACTCTTGGGCTGTGGTCCACTGTTTGGTTGCGATCAAACATTATGATGAGCTGCGGTTCATCGGTCGGTTGCGATCGACCCCTCCGTGTTGCGATACGGGGCAGGGTGTTGCGGGGCCGTGTCAGAGCTATATGTGCTGACCCTCATGTATGGGCATGCGATTGGTCCTGTGGCGCCATCAAAGTGTGCTATGTGATGAGATATGGATGGTTTGATGTTATAAATGTTATGAAATCATGACCATAGGATACATGCTAGCAAATCGTATATGCTTGGTTATGACTGTCGACTGTGCTTATCCCTATCTGTCGAGTCTATTCCCTGTTTGAAAAGCTAGAGTTTCTTAGGATATATCTTCATGCTTCGAAATGGTTTTTCTTATATCTATATATATGCCTATATGTATTGTATTTCAACGCGTTGGAGTGGGTTACCAGCATCTCTCGCTGAACAGATATATTTGGCTTTCAGGCACAGATGATTAGACACTGGAGCGCGCTAGAGATTCGGAGCATAGAGTAGATAGTTTCCCTTTCGGCCTACGTGCCATGTTTATGTATTGATACTATTTGAGGATTCTAGAAGTAAGCTCGTGCACCTGAGTTCTCTAGCTCAGGTGTGGCATAGCACCCCGTACTCTTGTATTATGTTTTGGGATTTAATGAGAATTCACCTTTATTATATAAGTTTCGAAATTTTAAAAATTTCGGGGTGTTACAGGTACCCCTACCCCCACCTACCCCCCACTGACTCATTCATCAATATTTCATCCCAGGATCCTTTGTAGAACCCGAAACCATGCATAGACACTTTTAAACGCAATTAACGACAATCAATTAACGGATCAAAAGCAAGAATCACATATAACTCATCCTATCACGATTTCTAAATATAAACAACACCCGAACATGTGAATTTCCCCCCAAATATAAATCAAGAACATTATAACACAAATTCCCAATTCATCCTAGGGCTCTAATCCCTCCCAAATCATCAAAATCCCAATTTTATCTTTAACATCAAGAAATATCGAGATTTGTCAAGAATCATTATATCAACATTAAGAATCTCTTTTCATCATCAAGATCATCAAGAATATCAAGAATACACACAAATCAACTTATCAATCATCAAGAATATATCACAATTAACATGGAGGAATTACTCAAGACACACATATATAGAAGGAGCCCAATGAAGGAGATTATAGCGAAGAAAATAGGTTTTAATTTGTTGAGACATGGGTTACCTCTTAGCCTTAATTAATTTCCTTGGCTATGAAGGGTCTTTCTTTAAGATTTCTCCTTTCTTGATTTCTCCTAAGGGGATTCTTGGAACTTCTTGTGTGGTGAGAGATTATTTGTGGTGTTAGATCTAGGTGTCTCCTATGTCCCTATTTATATACCTAAGAGTCCTAATTAGGGTCTAGGTGGTATGGGCTCGTTAATTCTAATTCCTATGGGACTAGGGGTTTGGTTTTAGGACTCAGGGCCCATGATCCATAGTGGACCCCTCTTTAGTCATTTAATGGATTTTAATTCCCTTTTTGGGGTGGGGGATAATTAGATTAGTTCTAATTTAGGGGTCGTAACACGGTAGTAGTACCGCCCACGGGCAGGTCGTTAGTCTGGGTGGCTGGTACGGCGGGTGTCCTGGCACTGGGGACAGGCCGAACACTATCCACGCATTCCTCCTCCTCTTCGGGGATGAGGTTGTCCTGGCTAGGAGGTGGCGACTCCGAGTTTGCTTCTGTTTCGTGCCAAAAGGGGAACACATTCTCCGAGAAAATAACATCTCGTGAAACAATAATTTTCTCTGTGTCTGGACAATAAACACGCCACCCTTTCTGGCTAGGAGGATAGCCAAGAAATATACCAGGAATACTCTGTTCAGCAAATTTGTCTCCATGTCGCTTCTGATTATGCACAAAACATCTACAACCAAAAACACGAATGTGAGATAAAGGTGGAGCCCGTCCATAAATTTTATCAAACGGAGCAACCCCCCCCCCCCCCCCCCCCCCCCCCCTAGCAAAGAAGAAGGAGTCCGGTTGATGAGATATGTCGTTGTTTAAACACACTCGCCCCAGAACTTTATAGGTAGAGAAGCCTGAAATCAGAGTGCCCGCGCCACATTAAGGATTGTGACGATGTTTTCGTTCAACCCTTCCATTTTGTTGAGGCGTGGAAACACAAGATGTTTCATATATGATGCCATGTGTACGGAAGTATTCTTTCAACCCTTCAAACTCTGTCCCATTATCACTCCGAACACACTTGACATATTTTTCAAATTGACGGGTCACCATAGCACAAAATTGTTGGAAAATAGGGACCACATCGCGTTTTGACTACAACAAATATACCCAAACTCCGCGAGAATGATCATCGACGATTGTCAAAAAAAATGTAGACCCATTCAGACTTGGTGTTTTATACGGCCCCCATAAATCACAATGCACCATGTCAAAAATGCCACTAGAATTATGAATGCTAATAGGAAAGCTGGCACGTGTAGGGGTGAGCATCGGTCGGTTTTGGTCGGTTTTCGGTTAATAACCGAAATAACCGAAAAATTCATGACCTTCGCATAACCGACGGACATTTCATAACCGAACCGACCGAAAACCGAAAATTTCGGTCGGTTTCGGTCGGTTATTTTTAACCGAACTTAATTACCTAACATGCTGAAATTTCTTTAAAAATTTAGTCTAAACTCAAAATTTTAAACACTAAAAACACATTACTAGTTAAAATAGTCGATCATATAAGAATTTCAAAATCATATGCCCAAAGTTGCAATGTCCACACTCCAAAGTCCAAACACAATCTTAAAATTTAAAGTACAAAATAAAAGATAAATTGTAAATTTTAAACAGAATATAATTAACAAATTAAATTTGCATACTGCATACATATATGTTTTGTAGTAATTAAACAGAATATAATATGTTATATATGTTTTAAACAAAATATAATATGTTTTTTTTGGAAACAAATATAATATGTTTAGCTACATGCATACGGCATACTCATATGTTTTGTAATTTTATATTTTATACTTTAAATTTATAGCGTAAATTAGTTTTGGGCTAGTAGATGACATAAAAGTAATGGGCTAAGTCAAAATGTGTGGGCTTCTTCTTCGGTTTTTCGGTCGGTTAATTTGTTTTTGGTCCATAACTGATAACCAACCGAAAAACCGAAATGACCGAAATTTTTTTAAGGTAATAACCGATAACCGAAATTTTCGGTCGGTTCGGTTATCGGTCATCGATTTTTTGGTCGGTCTTCATTTTTTGCTCACCCCTAGGCACGTGATTGTTTAGCGCGTACACAAATCTCACAACAATTATTAGCTAAACAACTGTTCTTAATATAGCCTGCTAAAGGGACAAAAGACAAAACACGAGATGAGGGGTGTCCAAGACCTTTATGCCATAAATCAAAACTATACTCCTTAACTGCATTAAACGCTTTTTGTTTTCCATTTTGTTTGAAGTAGTAAAGCCCTTCTCTATATTCACCCACACTAATCGCTGTCTTTAGGTCGTGTAATACAGAAGATTGATCTGTAAAACGTGCTTCACATTTCGAGTCCTTCGTTAGTTGGGAAACATATATCAAATTGCAACTTAAAACAGGAACAAATAAAACATTCATCAAAATCAAATTGTGCGTCAAACAGACCGTTCCTGATATCACTGATATAACCTGGCTTCCATATGGCAAACCAATGGTACAAGGGCCTGTTTGCTGAATATTACTCAATAAATTAATATTCCTTGTCATGTGATTTGATGCCCCTGTATCAATAATCCAGCGAGGTAAAGGAATACCTGACAACGATTCGGTCAAAGTTGACCCTGTTGGAGACAAAGACAAGGCATGACGAACTGCATTCCATTGCTCGGGAGCAAGATTGTCGAAGTTCGGAAAAGCAGTGAATGACGCGTCGGTGGTTGCAGCATGTGCTGTCACCTGTCCGCCGGGATGCTGTCCGGATATACCGCGACCGTCATTCCTGCTGGCTCTCCCACCGCCGCGGTTGCTGCCACGGCCTCCTCCACGGCCACCACGTCCCCCGTTTCGACCACTAGGCCATCCTTCCGGATAGCCTATCAGCTTAAAACATGTGTCAATAGTATGGCCGGGCTTCTTGCAGTCGGTGCATGTAATCTCCTTGATAGTTGCAAACACCGCAGCATCACTAGTGCTTCCTTTAGTACCACGGACCGTGACACGAGCCGTCTCTTCCTCGTCGTCGTTGTTGCTAGCGTCCCTCTTATCAACGTCGACGACCTCCGTGTCTGTCATGGCGGCATCGGCACACGGCAGGAACAATGTAAGGGGAGGGCGTCGGTCAAGAACCTGGGAATGATACTATGTAAAGAAATGTATGAACTGTCTATTATTCTATGTTGTTCATTACAGAAGATGTACACCCCTATATATACAAACTATAAGGTATAGAGAAAGGAAATAGAATCAATAAGAATAATAATAATGAAACCAAGATTACAAGAGAAAATATTTTCTAGAAGAAATATGTGATTTAAGTGATTTTTTGTGATTTCGGTGATTTCTTTCCTTAACAGAACCAAAAGGAATATTGTTGTCTTCATTTTCAGACCATAGATAGGTAAATGTGTGTTTTGTTTGGTGTTTAGGGAGGGGAAAAACCACTCAATTATATAGACTCAGATCAGATGAGATAATTCACTAGCAGACAAAATAGTAACATATAAATGTGATGCCAAACAAAAAAAAAAACGTGTAGCATTTAAAGATTCCCACTGGACCATGGGTATATAAAGACAGGAAAATGATATATATGTTCTCTTATGGAGTAAACTTTCATCACGTGTATAAATTTTATTGGATAAATAAAAGTGAAGAAAAAAATTCATAACTGAAAAAAAAAAGGAGGAAACATACCTTGGTGGTAAAAAGATGATGTCAAGAAGATGAAGAAGAAGCAACTGGTGTAGCAAGAAGAAGCTGAGAGCAAATGAGGCGTGTTAGTAGAGAGAGGCCTGGTCTATTCTAGAGAAAAGAATGGAAAATGACTTCCTCTATTTTCCATTGACCAAAGCATTATTTTCCATTGACTAAAGTATTATTTGTCATTGACTTTAAACTTTCCTCATTGCCAAACACCGGAAACCCGGAAAATGATTTCCAAAAATCATTTCCCGAGTTTCCAAACACATGATCAATGAATTGAATTAAGATGTCAAAGGTTTGATTACCAATCCCTAAAGTTGTTAAGGAAGTGAAAAATAACTACATGTCCTGGAGGAAGCAACTCGTCCCTTTTCAACACGGGCAGAATCTCTTGTGCTATGTCGACGGTTCCCTTCCTTGTCCACCGGCGACATTGGCTACTAGTGATACTCCGGCAGATTCGACTCCAGTGAATCCAACTTTTAGTGCGTGGGTTCAACATGATCATGCGATCCTATTGATGCTCATCTCTTCCTTGTCGGAGGAGGTGATGTACCTGGCGGTTGGGCGCTCCACTTCCCGGTAGGTTTGGCAAGCCATCGAAGTAGCGTTCGGTTCTTCTACAAAGGCGAGGACTCTCAACCTGCTTGTTTAGTTTCAGGCTTTACGCCAAGGCGACGACACCCCAACGGAGTATCTCGGACGTGCCCGACTCTTGGTTGAAGATTTAGCACTCGTCGGTCGTCCCATATCATTAGACGAGCAGAATCTATATGTTATCCGTGGGTTTTGCCCAAAATTCCGTGCTATGACGATGTCCCTGGCCGTTACCGGTGCTCCGGTGACTATTCCTCAACTATCAGATTACCTTCATGCTCAACAGTTCATCTATTCGGATGGCTCTGCAGTGGAAGTCGCGTCAGGTTCTTTGGTGCCAACGGCTATGGGTGGCCCGTCGCGGCAGTCGCGGTGGAGACAGGCAGCGGTCTCGTGGTGGTGGCGGACGCTAGAATCAACGTGGTGCCAGAAATGGACGTGGTCGTGGTGGCTCTCCTCGTTGTAAGATTTGTCGAAGCCACGGTCACACCACCATCTCATGTTTCCGGCGGTACTCGAACACTCCTGCACCTCAGGCAAACTTGGTAGTGAACAGTGTTGGTGTGTCTTCTTTGGCTGGTGCAATTTCTTCGCATGCCCGGTTTCCCGATACAAGTGCTTCGGCTCATGCGACACCGGAAGAAAGTTTGCTTACGGCGTCGGAGGAGTATTTCGGGTCAAACTCGTTAAGAGTGGGCAATGGCACACGTTTGGTTATTTCTAGTGTAGGTCATACAACTCTACCCACTTCTTCTAAACTGTTAAAAATGTCTAACGTGTTACATGTTCCGGGATTATCTACTTTTCTTATGTCTGTTCAGCGTTTTGTTGCAAAGAATGATGTCTTTTTTGAATTTCACCCTTCGTATTTTCTTGTGAAGAATCGCGTCACCAAGGGGGGTGCTGCTTAAAGGTCTTAGTACTGGTGGGTTATACTCGTTGTCTCTTCTACGTCATTCCATTGTTTTTCTTTCTCTCAAGCGTCGTTGTTGTACGGGAAAGAGATGGTGAGTATACGGGTGTAAATTGTCATTCCGCTAGGGATTGGGACTATGTCACGTACTTAAGTGACAACTAAAGTTCTATGCATCAAAGCATTGGAACCCACAAGAATCCAAGCAAATTCATAATCAAGGTTTAGTAAATGTCAACAATTAAAGGCTAAAAGTTTAGTTAAGAAAATGCAATTTAAACACGAGTAAACACAATAATAAAATATGGGCTCAAATTAGGGGATGTTGCCTTCTAGATGCTTTAACAACTTAGGGATTAGGGGAGAACATCAACCAAAGGAACATAAAGGCAATGCATATAGAAATCCTAGCTTAAAGCCACTTTCATGAGCTAAATGACAAGGATTAGAGCAAGGATTGCCCTACTCTCGTGGTGTATCAATTCCTAGCTCTTAAAACACATAAGCATTTAGGCCCCCAATTCTTTCCTATTTTCATAGAAAGAAAATGGGTTTATGAAAGGAGAGACTTAAGTTCTTCACCCAACTTTCATTGTGGAGAATAACTATCCAAAAGCAAGTTAATAAGAGTTACGCACCAAATATTAACAAGATTCACCTTAAATCCTTCACAAACAAATGAACCCTAGGTTAGATATCTTCCCCCTTATGCAATAATCACCTATTTAGCATCTAGGTTGGCAATAACTCCCTAATCAAAGCTCAAAAATGGACTACTCACACTTCATAAGCATAAATAACAAGAAAGCACAAGAAAATATCATAAACATTGCACAAAAGCTAAATAAGAGTAAGAAACTTCTCTATTGAAGATGAAGAATTTGTGGTTGAATCCCACTCCAATACATGATTAAAAGCTTTGTAGATGAGTTAGAGATGAAATACTAGACTAATATAAGCTATGGAAATGAGAGGAGGTGAAGAGGAATCTAATTTCTAGAGAGAAGGCAGAGAGAATTCTAACCTAAAAAACCCTAGAGTGAGAAAGTTGCAAGATGAAAATGGAAGAATGAAATTGGCCCCCAAAATTCTGCCCAAGAACTCTATTTAAGGCCTGAAAATCTCGCCCAAAAGCCCTTTATTTCCCATTCACGCCGCCCTCACTGCGTGACGGCTCACGTGACTGGGAATCCTGACACTTTCTTTGCTGCTTTTGAATGTCTAGATGTCCAAATTAGCCTTTGTGGTCTTCATTAACGTTGTAGCTCTATGAAATTCAGATCCAACACCACTTGAATTAGATCGTTTGGATATCCCTAGCTCCAGATATGTTTATATTACCAAAAAGTGATCAGTTTTGGACTATGAGCTTGAGACTTCAACTTCAAGGACGATTTTGACCCCTGTGGCTTCCTTTGTAGGCTTTTATGCCTTTATAAGAATTGTATCTGATTGAGTTTTCTTTCCAATTACATAAGAATCACTTCAATTGGACATTCTTAGGCCGAGATATGGTCCAATCACTAAGGTATCGACGTGCATGTCAGGAATCTCAATTCCATGATCTTTTGCTTTGGTTTACCTAAATGACAAAGACCATTAAAATCACCAACCTAGATTCCTTTGGAAGTGTTACATTCATCTCCATAGCTTCAAATTTGGCTCTTATTGACTCCCAATTTATCCAAAATGCCTCAATAGCACACAATTGCCTTCAACTCTACAACTTATGCATCAAAAGATATAAACAAGGGAATTAAAGCACTTCTTTGCGTAAAATCAAAGTGTTTATCACTCAAAATATGTCTATACAAGGGTTAAAAATATGGACATAAATGCACTTATCAGTCGTCTGCTATGTGGCATCTTCAGCTAGGCCATCTGCACAATCGAATCTTGCGTCAAGTCCTGCGTAACTGTCTGGTTAGCTCAAATAATGTAGGATCTTCTATGTTGTGTACGACTTGTCAGTTAGGCAAGTCTTATCGTTTTGCATTAGATAGGGTTCAATCTAGTAGCACTTGTGTACTTGATCTTATTTACACGGATATTTGGGGTCCTGCCCCTATTTTATCTTCTACTGGAAACAGATATTTGTGTTATTTGTAGATGACATTACACGTTATTCTTGGTTGTTTCCTATGCATCTAAAGTCTGATATTTATAAAATCTTTGATCAATTCCATGTTATGGTTGAAAGGCTATTTTCTTGTTCTATCAAATCCATACAGTCTGATTTAGGGGGTGAGTATCAAAAATTACACTCCACTTTTGCTTCTCTTGGTATTGTACATAGGCACTCTTGTGCTTATACGCATGAGCAGAACGGCCGGGTTGAGCGGCGTCATCGTCACATTGTTGAGATAGGTTTCGCTCTCTTGGCTCATGGCTCAGTCCCGTCTAAATATTGGGACTTGGCTTTGAAACGGTTGTGTATGTTATCAATCGCTTACCCTCGTCTGTTTTGTGTTTTTGATAGTCCACATGCTCGGCTTTTTAAGTCTCCGCCTTCTTATAGTTTCCTACGTGTATTCGGGTGTCTATGTTTCCCTTATCTTCGTCCCTATAATAAACACAATATGGACTTTCGGTCTGCTCCGTGTGTTTTCTTAGGTTATCCTGTGTTTTTTAGGGGGTACCGATGTATGGACCTAACTACTGGGAAAACCTTCATCTGTCGCCATGTTCTCTTCGATGAGGAGGTTTTTCCTTTTGATTTTCCTTCTTCTATGCAGACTTCTGGTGCTACAGTGCGTGTAGACGAGTTATCTTGGGGTGTTAGTTCTTTGGCTCTGGTGGTTACTCCTGAGCCGTCTGGTGGTCCCTCTATTTCTGGCTTGGTGGGTCCGGCTCCTGTCCCTCGTGTACCGTCTATGGGCTCCGGAAGGCTGCTTTGGTGCCTAAGCAAGGGTCTCATCCGATGCTACTCCGGCATATGGTGGGCGACTCCACTCAGTTTCAGGCGTTGGTGACTTCTGTTGACTCTGCTGATCCTACGTGTTACTCTTAGGAGATCTGGCATCCGGAGTGGCTTGAGGCTATGGATTAGGAATTCAATGCCTTGATGCATAGTTATACATGGATGTTGGTGCCTAAGCAGCCGGGAATGAATGTGATAGGCTGTAAGTGGGTGTTTCGTACCAAACGCAGGTGGATGGTACTATTGAGTGGCATAAGGTGCGTTTGGTTG